TGTATGACTTTTTTTTTTCTCCATAGGTTGGCTTTTTAAAATTTATACATAAGTCTGCAGTGCTATAAATTTTTTCTAAAAATATGAATTTTATTTTTGTATCAACTGAGAATAATTTTAAATATTGCATAATTTTATTAATTATGTTATTGGCTATATAAAACACAATAATTTTATATATTTGTACAGATAATATATCTAATGTATAAAGGTCAAATTGTGTATGTGTGTGTCCACCTTGGACTCTGAAAACTAATTAAATAATATTTAAAGGTGGTTGCCTTTCCATGTATGTGTGCAAATACTGTTAATTTGTGACATCAAAGAAATGTTTTATTATTTATGTCCATCAGCATGTGACTTATATCCTGACCAACTTTGCAGTTCTTGTTTAATAGAGATAACTAATTTGCATATACTGTTTTACAATTCATATTTTAAAAATAACTTTGTGTCTTCTTTATAATCTGTTTTTTTTGCAATTTTTTTAAATAAGTCTTGATGATGACTTTTACAATTGTTTAACTATTTCATGAAAGCCATTTTTGAAAGTGACAAACACTTTTGCATTTACATCAGTTTCACAGTAAAGTGAAATACACAATGTATAAAAGGAAGTCAGTAGTGTTGACATTTTTGTTTTAATATATAATCTATTTTATTTGTTTATACAAGTAGCACAGGATTTTGACCAGTATTTGGGTTGCACAAGAATTAGTAGTCAAGTTGTTTAAATTGTTGCTGCTTAATTGTTTAGCATTCAACATGCTCAAACCTGTTCTGTAAATATCATCTCTCAGTGTCTCACTATGTAACTTCCTGTGTTATTTGCAATAATGCTGTCATATATGTGAGACAGGTTATGGTGGGTTGAACATTGAGAGCTGATATTTATGATTGCTAGAGGGTTAAGTCTAATAAAGAGAAAGACATTTGCATGTAACTGAACTTATTGACTTGGTAGATTTTTTAATACAGTATAATATAATGCATTTAGTAACTCTTTTTCTTTAAGTTTATGTTTTTTATACAGTTGTTTCAGTCACAGTGACATCAGTTGTGGAGTTGTTTAAAATTTAATTAAATGTAACTACAATAGCTTATATACAAAAAAAACTTGTATATTTTAAAATTCCAACTGTATATTTTAAAATTCTACCATAATAAATAACTATAAAAATGTTTAAATCCGAACTGCTTTCATTATGACAGTTTTTTCATACCATTATGTAAATATAACAAAAATAATGATTTAGTTGAGACGGGCAGAGCAAAGGGACCTGACCTATACAACATCAGCTATCATTGCTAGTTTTTAATATTTTAGAACATTTAAAAATATGAATTGAGAAGTGATGTTTAATGCTTGCTACTATTATGAGGGCCTTTGTGTGGACAGTGTAACAGTGCAGAAACTGTACTTGTCAAGCTGAGTTCAAATTCTGGTCTTTTTTTTGTTGCATTCACTTTTGCACTTAATTCCACTGGGGAAAAGCATAAAGCTTTCTCTTTCCAACTGCTCCAGCTATGAGTTAAATAACAAAATAGAGTGGGCTCTCTAGCCTTGGGTGGTATCTAGTCTAAGAGAAGGAAAACTCTGAATTCAAAAATGAAGAAAGCGGGAGGGAATCATTCCACTAACTTTCCCAAAAAGGTATGTCTATTCAAAGGTAATAAATAAAAAGGAATCTGGAGAATCATGAATGTTTACACTCTAAAAGGACATGGCATTTAAAGAAAAAAAAAAAAAAGATTGATTTTTATGATAAAATACTTGTTATTTAACATTTTTTAGATGAAACTAATAGATATTGATTTAATGAGCTGAAGTTTGAGTTAGAAATTTTTGTTTTATAAATGTAACATTTTAAAATAGAGACTTAGGCCACACTTACACATTGGTGTGATTTACGACCACACTATGTTAAAACACCGGTTTGTGTACAATCACTGAAGTTAAGCAACGTTGAGCCTGCCACTTCGGAATACCAGAGGCTGTAAACTTGGATATGAGGCTGGTGTAGTGGATAATGGATTGTAATTATTAATTGGAGAGCCAAGTTCCAGTTCCATCCATTATTTTTACAAATATCCTTGGGAAAGGTACGAATCTAGCGCTTCTACTCCCTCACTATGGGTTAATTAGTAAGATTTTTACCACTAAATCATTATTACCTCAAAAAAAAAAAAATCTTATAATCTAAAAATATGTTTTGGCTTTAAATAACCTGCCAAGTATTAATAAGTTGTAAAAAATGAATGAACCAATCAATAAAAATACAGATACAAAATGTGTAAAACAAAAGCACAGCTTGTTTTTAATCTATGCTACTGGAAAAGCATGATGAGAAAGATATTGTCAGAGCCGAGTCATTAAACCATGATTTGTTCACACTAATCCTATATTTATAGTTTTTGTAACTTTATTTTTACAAATGTATAGTAATAAAACCAATGAAGATGACTATATTATGATGGCTGACAACCAGAATCAATCCAAAGTGTTAAAGATGATTTTTAAATGAAACCCAAACAGTTCTGGTTAAGATCAATCATTTGTGTAATGGACCTATACATTTTATAATGATCTTAAGCAGACCCTTCTGATAATACTTGGTGTAATGAATAATGGCCTGGAATTGTCAATCAGAAAGCTGAGTTCCAATTCCAATTCGGTTTATTATATTCACTTATGTGCAAATACCCTTGGGAAAAGTATGAATATACCTCTTCTCTTCTCATTACATTAATGCCACTGTTAAACATAATGTATCTTTTATCTACTTGTGTGCCTCATTATTGAAAAATATATATTTGACAGCATATAAGACACCCACTTAAAATATATATATATATATATATATATATATATATATATATATATATTAGCTGATTTAAAATATGGTTTCTTTGCTACACAGGAATTACTATGTTTCAAAAACCAAAGCTTCAAGTGAATTTTGGATTCCAAAATTCACTTGAAGATGAAACAGAACTAATGCTTTTAATTTAATTATATAATTAAATTTGAAGTTTTTAGCTTGGTTTTTGAAACATAGTAATTCCTGTGTAGTGAAGAAACCATATTTTAAATGAGTTAATTATAATATTCATGCTCTGTAAATTTACTTTGAGCACTGTTTTTGTAAAAAAATATTAATAAGAATACCGGATTATATATGTTACTGTTGTTTCTTTTTTTATTATATATATATATATATATATATATATATATATATATATATATATATATATAATATAAAGTGGGTGTCTTATATGCTGTCAAATATATATTTTTTCCATAATGAGGCACACAAATACATAAAGATACATTATATTTAACAGTGGCATTAATGTATTTAATAGGTAATCATTGTTTTGTTATATGAAGTAGAAAATAATGATTTGAGGTTGTAATTTTTTTTTTTTTTTTCACCCTGCATACAAACCTTTCAAAGTATTTATAGCGAAAACTTGTCTGTAGACTTCCATATTTAATTACAGCCAAGTTGAAAGGAAAATATATGTTTCATTTGTAATATAGACCACATATCAACTTTATTACTGGATGGAACCAATATACATTTTGATGAAACTGTCAAATATATTGAAGAATTTTTTTATTTTTATCTTATGACCTGTAAGGTAATTGTTCTTGTACAGGCTGAATTGTAGAATTACCAGACACTATGATAGGATCACTGCTCTAGTACAGGTTGCAGACTCTGTATCATTATGATCACCAAAGTTAAGCAACATTGAGCCTGGTCAGTATCTACATAGGTGACCTCTTTGGAATATCACTGTAAGCTTGGATGTCAGCATGGTGTAATGGAGACTGGCATTGAATTGGAGCTCAGAGAGCTAAGTTCCAATTCCAGTCAGGTTTGTTATATTCACTTATGTGCAACTATCTTTGGGAAAGGTATGAGTCCACCTATTCTCCCCCAGCTATGGGTTAATTAGTAGGACTTGTATCAGTAAATCATTATCTGAAATAAGATTCTTACAATCAAAATATTTTTTGGCTTTAAATAACCTGCAAAAGATTGATAAGCCATAAAAAATGCAATTAGTCATTTAATCCAGATCATTACTCTGGTATATCCAAAGGCTCCTCCGGTTACCTCTACTATTATAGCATCTTTTGTTTATGTGTAATATCACCAATATTATCATAATCATTATAACTTTATCAATATTCTAAGAACTCTTATAATAAGAGAATGATGATAAGGTCTTGGCTTGACCCCCTTTTCAAAATTAAGATTTCCAGATTAAACATCAGGTGAAGGCATGGTGGAATAATAGTGGTTCACATTGAGGAATCGGAGAGCCAAGTTTGAATTCCAGTCAAATCTATTACATTCACTTACGCTCTAATACCCTTGGGAAAGGTATGAATCCTCTTCCCCCCCCCTCCAGCTATGTGTAAATATCAGGACAGACCAGGTTCTATAGCCTTGAATGGCAACTGGTCTACTGCAGAAAGAAATGGCAACCTACTGCTGGAAAAAATCTGCCTCGTCAGTCATGTATTTTTTTAATATGCCTTGTAAACTTTTAATTTACTCTTGTCTCCTTTTCATATTCTGTGCTATACCAATATTTTTGCAATTCATTCTTGGGATATGCATTGTCTGTCTGGCATGATATAAGCATCAGAGAAACAAAAATGTTGCTTTTTTTTTTTTTTGTCTGTTTTGTTCTGAGATTCTTTCTTAGAGAAAAAGCTTTTGTGTGATTTAACTGACCTTGATTATATGTATATTTTAAATGCATGTGTTCCTTGTATTTTCTACAGATGCCGTGAAGCAAATGCCCACAAGTTGTACCCATGGATTCACCAATGGATAAACAATAAAACCTCAGCAGATCAAATCGAACCCATAAATTTTCCTGATGTCAACCCTGCTGATCTCCCAGCCAACTCCAATTTCTCTATGGCTGCTGGTGACTTCTTAGAAGTCTATACAGAACCGAGTAAGTAGTTTCTTTAGTCTCCTCTTTCTCTTTCTTTCAGGGTTCCCTTCTTTCTACTTTTTTTTTTTTGCCTCATCCCGTTATTTCTTATAGTGTTTTCTGTTTGTCTATTTCTGTTTCTTTTGATCATTTAACCATTATTAATTTATTGATCTATCTTGTATTAATATTGCATTTTTCTGGGCTCCACACCATGGCCCACCTTGTCTAATTATGATTAATAAACATTATGAACGCCTTTCTATAGGGCAGCAATTAGTAAGCTAGTCTTGCTGATCATTGTTACTGTAGTGAGGTTGATCCTCTGGGGGTATTTCAGTCCTCCTATTTGACAGTGAATGCTGGACCATCTCCACACAGATGGAGAAGAGATTTGAAGCAACAAAAATGTGGTTCTATAGAAGGATACCATGGACCAAATATGTGAACAACATCAATGTTTTAAAGAAAATACACACCAAAATGACATTTATACTTAGCACTTAGTTTAAATTTCTAGGTCACATAATGAGAAAAGAGGGCTTGGAAAATTGATACTCTATGGAAAGATTGAGGGCAAGACAGACAGTGGAAAACAATGCATAACCTAGCAAGCAAGCTTGAGGAAATGGATGGCAGAACAAAATTTATAAGAGATAACAAGACAAAATTTATTAAGAGCTAAAAAAGACAGTAAATTATGGAGAACTATGATTGCCAACTTTCTTAGGGGACACTGAACATGGACGAAGATCCTTATGCCAGACAAACCAAGCTTAATAATTTCTAAGTACATTTACCTGGCCTCCTCTCTAAGGCAGGGTATGACATATGGTCGTTTTTACATGTGGTCCACCATAGACATGCTTATACATACAGGTCAAGGACAAAATTTACCCATTTCACACTGTCATCGATATTACACCAACTAAATACCTCGCTTACTGCAATAAGGAAGGAGCTGCCGCAGGGCTGGAATCCCCGGTACGGGGCAGCATATTCTCCCATCTAAAATGAAGAGAAAACGTTTATTCCATTTCCGTCAAAAAGCAAACTCCTGTGCTAGCTTAATATAATTTCTAGGACTGCAATTTCCTTTCTCCTTGTATATCTGTCTGTTGTCCCTCTATTGGTATGTGTATGTGTGTCTTCAGTTCATTGTATGTCTATAATTGTTTCTTTTTTCTTTGTCATCGTGTGTCTCCCTTTGTGTGTTCAACTGTCTCTATTATTTCTGTCTTTTTGTCTTTGTTCATTCTACTTGTCTTTCTTTCTCTCATTACATCTTCTTCTCTTTCCATCTCTTTATTGTCTGTCTTTGTTATTCCTTTTCTTTTTTTCTCTGTCTCTTTCTCCACCTGTGTAGCTTCTATTGTTGTGTCAGTTCATTTCTCCCTTGTGACTTCATCTCTATTCTTTTTCTTACTCTTACTGTCTTTTACTCCCACTTTCTTCTTATGTATCTCTGTGTATTACAACACTCCTTTTTTATATTTTCACTTGTTCACAATTTCTGCCACTCTCTTTCTCTATCGTCTTACTCTCTTTCTCTATTGTCTATCATCTTACTCTCTTTGTCTATCATCTTACTCTCTTTGTCTATCATCTTACTCTCTTTGTCTAGTGTCTTTCTCTTTGTCTAGTGTCTTTCTCTTTGTCTATTGTCTTACTCTCTTTGTCTATTGTCTTACTCTCTTTGTCTAATGTCTTACTCTTTCTCTATCATCTTACTCTCTTTGTCTAGTGTCTTTCTCTTTCTCTATCATCTTACTCTCTTTGTCTAATGTCTTACTCTTTCTCTATCATCTTACTCTCTTTGTCTAGTGTTTTTCTCTTTCTCTATCGTCTTACTCTCTTTCTCTATCGTCTTACTCTCTTTGTCTAGTGTCTTACTCTCTTTGTCTAGTGTCTTACTCTCTTTGTCTAATGTCTTTCTCTTTATCTATCATCTTACTCTCTTTGTCTAGTGTCTTTCTCTTTCGCTATCATCTTACTCTCTTTGTCTAGTGTTTTTCTCTTTCTCTATCGTCTTTCTCTTTCTCTATCATCTTTCTCTTTCTCTATCGTCTTACTTTGTCTAATGTCTTACTCTCTTTCTCTATTGTTTGTGTATCTACATCTTTCTCTTATATATATATATATATATATATATATATATATACTTTGTCTATAATGTTGTTATTTTTTTCTTTTCCTGCTCTTCTTGCTATGTCTCCTCTTTCTTTCTTTCTATCATTCTCTTCCTCTAATATTTTGTATATCTCAATGCTTTTCCCCTCTTGCATTATCTTATTCTATTTCTCTCTGTCTATTTTTTATGCTGTAAACTTTTATTTTCCTCTTAAACTTCCAAGTGTAAATTTCTTGTCTACACAGTTGTTAAGGCATTTTAAGATAAAAGAATCCTTAACAATTATCTGTTACTATTTCACAGCAGACATCAATGGCTAAACAAAACCAATAAAAATACAGTAATCAGCAAAAAAAAAAAAAAAAAAAAAAAAAAAGAAAGTTTATATATCTTTCAACATAGATGAAAGCTTGGTTAAGCAAATGTGTGTTTTTATTTTATTTATTTTATTAAGCATTTCCTTTTAGATATCACATTTGTCAACAATTGTAATGTATTGTTAAGAGCTCTGGTCTCTTTCAAAGATATTAGTACAGTCAAGTTTTTTTTTTTTTTGTTAAGCACAGACCAATCAAGTTGTTAATAAAATTCATGACAAATTATTTTCTTTAAAATTCCTTTTATGTTCATTTAACCGAAGTAGAACTTTTTTATTTGAATTGTGCTTGGCAAAACAAGATGTGTTTTAAATAAGACAAAAAAAAAAATCACTCGTGTATAAAATTAATTTTCTGTATATCTTTTAAGAGTAAAAGGCTCTAAAGTACTGGAACTTATTGTTTGTCATGACCATTTATTGAAACATCTTATTCCCTATTTTGTTTAAGTTTGTCCACTCTTATTCTAGAAAGCATTTTAGAAAAATTAAACAATAGGTTTTGAAAAGTTTCTTGTGTGATGTGTCTTCTGTCATTGCTGGCAATTCATGGTTTAAGATAAAAAAAAAAAATGCATTTTATTGTTTAAGTTTTCATAGTATTGCTGATTGGAGAATTATTGGTAAAATATTTAAAGGGGTGCTGAAAAATTCCTGCCCCCACAATCATTTTGGTCATATGTGTAGATTTAGGAACTATCAGCATATATATATTATATATATATATATATATATATATATATATATATATATATATATATATATATAACTTTTGAGAATCTGGGATGATTTGCACTTCTAAGACACTTTTTGGCTTTGCTTGATCAGCAATACACCCTTTTGGTTGTGTTGGTCTATAGCATGTCAGATATAACAATGGTTTCTTCTGCAACCCCAGTTTGTAGCTTGCCAGAGACAAAATCTTTTTCCCTATTAAGATTTGAATATATTCAAGCTGGTAGACAAAAAATAAATAAATATACTGTTTAACGAATTAATGGAGCATCTACTTAAATATGGGTATTCAATAAAAATGTTTAAAGTGATAAAAAACTGTCAGATTAATTAATAAAAAAATCCATTACTTCTTAAAAAATTACTTTGTTTGGATATGAAACTGAGCAGGTATGAACTTTTGAGAATCTGGAACAAAGAGATTTGCATTTATAAGGCATTATTTGACTTGCTTGATCATATATTAGTGTATGATTCTGTGTATATAATATATATATATATATATATATATATATATATATAAAAACTATTCAGCTCAGAAAATGGTTGATTTGTATATTATTATGTTGACATGATGCATTACTGCTACATGGCCAACTTACCATAATTTCTAATCTTGAAAGTACTCCATTCCATAACCATGAAGGATTCCTACATGTACTTATCAATGAAGCCTGTATGAAAGTCAAAAAACAAGATTTCAATAACATACTTCATCTATTACTTTTAACCAAATATTTATGTATATTCAAATTTTGTTTGTGATTTTTTTTTTTTTTGTTACTTGTAGCATCATTCCAATCAACAGAAATAATCTTCCTTTATCATGAATAACTGTTTTCCTATAAAGGGATGTAAATAAATTTCTGTGGATCCCCAAAATAAACTAGTTTTGTCTTTTTCACTTAAATTCCAGTCCAACCTCTGACCAATTAAATTACTTTCATGTCTGTTCCTTAACTGTTATAAATTTTTAGTAATGTAAGATACATTCTATTGAAGAGTCCAGAAAAGATACTTTTTGTGATTAGTTTAACTACCTTCTTTTACCAGATATGGATATTGTTTGATATTGGGACACTGAGGTCACCCAACACCAAGGTCACCCAACTATGATAACGATGATGAGTTAAGAAGTACAAATATGTCTCTCCAATTCTGTAATATCTTTATCTATGTGGTTAAGTAATATAAGTAAATATACAATTTTCTGTTCTTCCAAAATGCTGGTATTATTGTTTTTCTTTACTTCAAGATAATGATGATTTTTATTCTAAAAGAAGAGAGAATTGTATGTAGAATTATTATTTTCATTTGTGTAATTTTCTATTTTCATGTCCTTACCTGTGTTTCTCACTTGTTCCAAGACAAAAGTTAAAGAGAATCATTATGATGCAATAATAGTTAAATAGTAAAACAGTTATGTTGAGTTATTACAAGAATTTAAATTTCAAGAATTGTTTGACTATTACTTTCTTCCTTTTTTTTGTTGTCATCACAATGTTTCAGCCAAATCATTCTCGGATCTTTATATGGACAAGTCAAATGAAAAAAAGATCTCATTTTTTTATACTGGGAAGCATACATTCCATCAATAATGTAAAATAGAAAAGTAGTGGCAAACCTGCTGATTTGATTTTCTATGCTGACTTACTCTCTGGCTTACTCTCTGGCTTACTCTCTGGCTTACTCTCTGGCTTACTCTCTGGCTTACTCTCTGGCTTACTCTCTGGCTCTTTCTTTTCTCAGTAAAAAAAACCCTAAAAAACACAATTTATAGGAATCTATACTGGCCTGACTTTTACATGTAAATCTGCATGGTTCTTTCCTCACCCTTCATTGATAGTCTCCATTTATTATTTTGATCTTGCTTAGATGAAGTGATCCTTTTCTTTTTTTTTTCTCATGATATGGTCTGCTATACTGGGTTTTTGACTTCACTTTTGGATATTTTTTTTTTTTTTTATCTTTCCCAATTTGATTTTCAGGGAACAGCTGGTCCCACCCTGCTGTTTGTTTCCACATTTACACAGGATGTTAACCAGAAAATCTTGGTTCATTCATTTTTAATGTGAAGGACCAATTTTAGCAAGGAGGTTGTGGTACTGGATATCACACTAAAGTTGTATTGTCAAATCCTTTGGATTTGTTCAGCCAATCTCCTTAGCTATACAATTGCCTTTACCAATGTATATCTTTCTATTCTCCAAATGGATCATTTTACTGTCAGTATGTATTAACTATTTTGTTAGATTTCCACAATGATGACTTTTGCTTGATGTTGAAACCAAAAGATAGATTTAACTATAATTCAGGTATAATCTTTTAATGCATACAAGATGATGTGTAGATAATGGCTTGTCCTGATGTGCCATATCCTTTACTGATGTCAGTGATCATGTTTTTTTTTTGTTTTTTTTACTTTAAGTATCTTTTACCCATTAACCATCCTTTGACCTTGTTTTGCCATCCAACGATTTAAACTCAAGTGGATTACTTGCTGTTTCCCTCTAGCCCTCCTGTCTTCAGTATACCTTGTGAGTGTTATGTTCTCTAAGCCCTCTTTCTTTGTTATGGGTCTCTGGAAATTGCAACTATCTCTTTCTGATTGTAAGGATATTTAAAAAAGAAAAAGAGGCAAATTTGTTATTTGTCTATTTATAAATTGTCTTGATGATCTGAGTTCATGTGATCCAGCAAAACTTGTACATGTGTCTAATTGTTATGTTGATTTGGGGTTAGTAAAGACAAACGCTAAATAACACTTAACTATAAAAAGGGGTTTATTAGGTTTGTAAGTAGGTACAGAAATCACCTGAGTAGTCTATAACTAGCTCAGCCAATAACTTCTCCGACTCTGTCTGTCTTTTGACATGCCACTATTTAACGTCTTTGTTTGTAGACAAGTTCATCTTCAAGAGGGGTGGTAGGTTTCCTACACAACACGAATAAAGCCAAAGTATAAATGATCAATCAGTAGTCTATATCATATTTTGTTGTTATGGTAGTGACAGAGTGAGATCTTGAACAACTCTTGGACTGATTATAACTCATCTCAGAAAACGGAACATTAAGAACTTTGACGTATCAACTCAATGGCAAAAAATCACTCTTAGGTCATGGATAAATATGCAATGAATATGATACAGTGTGATGTTCCTGATCACTTTCTACAAGTAGAAGCATATGAAGAAAGACTCTTCTTTCTCCCAGTGGCAACTTTTCTCCCTCCCAGTGGCAACTTTTCTCCCTCCCAGTCGTCACTCTTCTCCCTCTCATTTGGCAGAAAGAGAAATGGATGATGATGGACAGAATTTTCATAAAGGATTTTATTAATATTATCCTGATAACGTGAATCAATATTGAAAAACAAGATTTTATTATTGTCTATACATTTGAGAAGTGTTGTTATTACTATACAAAGAGATTTTTAAACAGTTGAACTTTACAGTTGTTATTTTTGTCATGTTTTGACTGAAGCATTCTGTGACTATTTCAGGCTTACTATCCATTTGAAAAGAGAAGGTCTATTTTCCCACAAAGAATGTAACAAACAAAATTAAAACATTAGCAGCATTGGCTTGTAGTATAAGTTATTCTATTTTCTGCAACACATACAGTGCAGTGCAGTTCAATAACAGGGAAATAATATGGAATTCTTTGTTTAGCAAAAAAAAAAAAAAAGGAAAAAAAAATTGATAACATCTCTAAATGAAAAATGATGGCACAAACTGTGCTGCCTGTGTTGCTGAAAATAGAATACCTTATATTACATGTGTTGTTGCTAACTGATCTTATAGTCATGATGTTTTAGCTATTTTGTCCTTCTAGCCTTTTTT